CCTGCTTTCCTTAAGCATCAACAATGTGTGTGTGTCTGTTTGGAATTTCATTTTACCCTGACTGATGCTGGTCATTCCTTCTCAGTACGTCCTTGATTGTGTTTTCTGACTGATGATCGCTGTGCTTTAGAAAAGTGATTAATTTACTATCTGATCACCTCACCAGATTCTTTTATGAGCTCTAATAGATTTTCAGATAGTCTAAAGGTAAACCATCATAAAAATGTAGAAAATGCAGCAGTGCCTGTGGCTCAAAGGAGCAAGGCGCCGGCCCCATATGCCGGAGGTGGTGGGTTCAAACCCTACCCTGGCCAAAAACTGGGGGAAAAAAAGGTGATAATGATCCTTTTCCCTTCTTCTTTCCTAAATATTTTGTAATCTCTTTGGTGTCCCATTGCTTTGGATAGAACTTTTAGAAGAACATGAAACAATGGCGGTGATAATGGATATCGTGATAAAGATTTTCCCTTTGAAGTGATGGTGCAAATGTTTCATTAGGAGATATAATGAGCAATGATTGTTTTGATGCAGGGTTTTAAAAAGTTATGTAAAGAAGTTAGCATCTTTTTTTCCCCTTTCTTTAGTATTCTGTACCTTTAAAAAAATAAGAGATGGGCTCAGTGCCCATAGGTTAGTGGTTAGTGTTCCAGCCACATACACCGAGGCTGGCAGGTTCAAACCCGGCCCGCTAAAAAATAACAACTGTAACAAAAAATAGCCGGGCGTTGTGGCAGGCACCTGTAGTTCCAGCTACTTGGGAGGCTGAGGCAAGAGAATCACTTAAGCCCAAGAGTTTGAGGTTGCTGTGAGCTGTGACACCATGGCACTCTACCGAGGGTGACATAGTGAGACTCTGTCTCAAAAAAAAGAAATTAATAAATAAGAAATTACTCAATTTTTTTTGAAATATCTTTTCCTCAACTATGGATAATATTACTTCCTCTGTCATAGTCTATATCCTAAATTATTATTGTTATTATTTTTTATTAAATCATAGCTGTGTACTTTAATAATATCATGGAGTACAGTGTGCTGTCTCTATATACAATTTGAAATACTTTCATCCAACTGGTTAACATAGCCTTCATGTCATTTTCTTAGTTATTGTGATAAGACATTTATATTCTACATTTTGAAAGATTCACATGTACCTTTATAGGATGAACCATAGGCATGATCCCACCAATCACCCTCCCTCCCCTCTCCCCTCTCTCCCCTTTCCCCATATTCTTGGGCTAAAATTGGGGTATAGCTTTCCTATGAAAGCTATAAGTTAGTTTCATAGTAGGGCTGTAGTAGTTTCATAGGGCTGTAAACATGAAGGAGGTAAAGTCTCCATCTTTCTTTATGACTGCATAGTATTCCATGGTGTACATATACCACAATTTACTGATCCATTCATGGGTTGATGGGCACTTGGGCTTCTTCTATGACCTAGCAATTGCGAACTGGGCTGCAATGAACATTCTGGTACAAATATCTTTATTGTGTGATTTTTGATCTTCTGGATATATACCTAGTAGAGAAATTGTAGGATCAAATGGCAGGTCTATTTTTAGTTCTCTTGTTGAACCATCTTTGCTTTTCCTGAATTAAGCAGGCTTGATAATGGATCCTTTGTTATTTTTAAACTACTATTGGATGTGATTGTTGAAGCATTTTAGGCAAAGAGGCTAGGAAGTCAAGGCTATAGATATGAGAAAGCACCTGAGATGTTGGCTGGACCAGGAGCAGAGGAGTTGGTTTGGAACACAGGGTCCATCAGAGAGCAGGGAAAGAGGACAGTGGAGCAAAAAACTGAGATGTGGAAGATGTGGCACCTTCAACCCTGGGCAGAGATATAAATCATAGATATGTATATTGATGATGTTTGAAGCCTTGAGAGAAGGCAAGAAACTCAGCATAGTATTTGTCATGAGATGGAAAAAACTGATGAGAACTCCAAGAAATGTCCAACTTTCTGAACTTATAAAAATGCTGACAGAAGAGCACAGGACAGCAACAGTAGGAAAAGAAAGGGGGGAAAGAGCTTTATGAAAGAGATGGTAGTCAATGGTGGGTGAGCGAGATGACAAATAATTTCTAATTGGTTATTTGCAGATTTTGATGGAATAGGTTTAGGAATTAAAGAGTTAAGAGATGGTGATAAAGAGAAGACCTCAAGGATGTCATCTCATCACAATCATTATTACTAACATTGTTATTATTATTAGAGTTATTCACAGCCAAATTGTTGAAGTGTGAGCTAGAAGTTGTATGAAATAATTCAGCCATATTAAAACATGTGGCTATAGGAACACACACAATTATGGGAGCAAAACCAATGAAGTGAAAAAACAGCAGGAGACAACCCAGGAAAATAATGTTTAATTTCTTTCTTAAGCCTTCCGGGGGAATTCTTCAGACAGTTTTGAGAATGATCAATAATGAACGTCGCGGTGAATTTATTTTCCTTGCAAATATTTATTTAAACAGTGTGTAGTAGGCTGTATTCTGCCAGTAGTCTGCCTGGGCTCTGGAAAGCCCTGGGATTTGAGGACTTGGCTGTGACCACAGAAATTATCCTTTGCACAAAAGATAGCCTAGCCTCTGGCTGCTGTGAGCTTATAACAATGGCACCATGATAAGCTAGTAAGTCTTGTTTTTTGAGTTTTGAGAACCCTTTCTTACTAGTGAGATGGTTGAATATGTGTGTAAATGATTTAATTAAAAGATATAAATCAAGGGGATGTATATATAGCCCTATTACAATATTGTTTTAACATCTTTGCTCTCAATTATTTTCTAGTTAGGGGGATAAAGGGTTACTTTTATAGCTGGAAAACTAGAAATCAGGCAGAACCCAAAGATGGTCCTGTGGAAAGATAACCAGAATGTATCATTGGGATATTTTATTTTGTCAGTGGCAGAAAATGTCAGTCTTTTACTTTTTTGGAATGTGCTCACAAGGAGGAGCCACCTGTTTGACCTTCACCTTCAACATATGTGTGTTGTAGAGAAAAATGGGGCGACTCTTGAATTCTTGGATGTGTAACTGTTCCTCATATCTGCTGCCTAGAATGTTGCTTCTAGAGAGTGTCAAGCACATCTTAGTTGAGCATGACCTATTTTTTGTTACATTTTCCCAGTCATAAGTCTTGGAGAATAGCTAATCTACCCAAATTTAGTGCACCTTGGGCTCTACCTCGCACCAGTCATCTATAGTGTTTGCAAAAAGGCAAAACCCTATGATACCCCTGTCTCCATCAGCCCTGAGAGTCTTGTTCTTTATGGTTGAGGTAAGGTTTAGGAATCAAAACTATTAACAAGCTATTATTTTAAAATATTTGCAGGATCTGTAGTGATGTCTCCTCTTATTGCTGATATAGGTAAGTCTCTCTCTCTATCTCTTTCTTTCTTATATAGTACATATGTCTATAGGTTTACTGCTTTTATCAATATCTTCCAAGAGCCAGGTTTGATTCTATTACTTTTCACTATTATTTTCTGTTTTAAATTTCATTAATGTCTATACTTATTATTTCTTTCCTTCTGTTTCTTTGGTTTACTTTGTTCCTGTTTTTTTTTTTCTTTTTATAGTTTTATAGAGTGGAAACAGGTTAATTTCAGATATTTCTTCCTTCCCATAGGGGCATTTAATATTCTAAGTTTCCCTCTAATCACTGCTTTAATTGTCTCACACAAATTTTAATATGCTGTTTATTCAGTTCACAATATTTTCATTCAGCTTAAAGCATTTTATAATTTCCCTTGACTATCATTTAACTTTTAATCTATTTATGTCTTATATAAAGTATGGTTCTTTGAGACCGGTGGTACTGTTTGAGATTTTTTAATCCACTCCAACAATCTTTGTCTTTTAATTGGAGAGTTTATGCCATTAATGTTTAATGTGATTATTAAATAGTCATATTAAGAGTTACTATCTTGATAATTATTTTACATAATTTCCATCTGTTCTTCCTTCTCATTCTATTTTTAATCTTTATTTATAATAATTAAATATGTTTTATGATGCCATTGCATCTCCTTTGTTGGTTTATTAGCTGTAACTCTTAGTTGTTTTTCATGGATGCTTTAAGGTTTACAGCATAATCTGTAACTCACCACAGTCTGCCTTCAATGATATTGCACCACTTTTCAGGAGGCAAGGAACCTTACAACCTCCTCTATTTCTTCCTTTCCAGCCTTTTTGCTATTGTCACAATACATTTTACTTTTAAAACATTTTACATATATTATAAACCTCGTGCTATAATGTTATAATTTTTCTTTAAGCAATCATATTCTAAAATGATTTATAAAATTAACAAAAAGCATTTTTATCTACATATTTACCATTCATTTCTTCGTGTAGATTTTTGGTATCATTTTACATTTTCCTGAAGGATTTCCTTTTTTTTTTTTTTTTTTAAGAAAAATTTAACTTTATTAAACACAGGATAGACTTTCAAATTCTTTTTTGCTTTATGGTTATTACTTTTGTAGGCTATCTGACCTATGGCGAGACTTGTTAATTGGTACTACATAAAAGATGCTTATCTATGCCTGAAGAGTTTAGTTTCTAGTCTATATTCATAAACAAATATATTTGTATCTAGATAGAAGTATCTGTGAGTGGATTATTAGTGTGTGATATATGCATTGCTTAAGCTGGTAATAAGGGATTAGCCACTCTATAGTGACTGTCAAGTACAGACACAGATTTGTATTTTATGCAAAAATTCAGATTTTACTCTTCTTCTTACATTGGTTGGAACTGATGTCAGTAACTCAAAGGCAAATACTTTCAGTTTTCTACCTCTTAGCTGAACAAAAATACATACAATGTAGAATTTTCATTAGGCAGGACTTGCTTTTTGCATTTCACATGATAATGCAATATAACCCTTTCTTCAAGAAAATGGTCAGTATACTAATGAAACCATCTTTTCAGGAAATGTTTAATAAGCATATTTTATTTAAATAAATCCTCCAGTAGGAAATGGAGAAGTCAATGCTTTTACTTAGAAGGAGGTTATGTAAATAGTTATCTGTGAAATTTATATATGCACCTCACCAACATTCCCTTGTTGGAAACATCAACATAGCCACATCACAGTTCCCAATAAGACTTTAAAGTCTCAAAATTCTGTGTCTCCTTTGGCTTGCTTCTCTCTTGATTCCACCCAAGCTTTATTAATGGTTCGCTCCATACCATCATCTCCATCTCCATAAATTTTCTTTAGAACATTCATCAGTCCCGCACGAGGTTCTGTTTCAGTGTCATAGGAGGGCTTTTCTTTTTCTTTGCATTCTTTTTCAACCTGAGTTACGTAGTCCCATCGTGTATTTTCTGTTTTCTTTCTACATAAGATAAGAACTGTATCAGTCTTAACTTTTTTTGAACTGCCTTCCACAGAGATTGGTTTCAAGAGATTGTTCACAATCATGGAATAACTCTTCCCATTTAGTTTCTTAACCAAAAGGTCAAATGACCTCTCTGCGAAATGCACCTGCACATTTTCAGTGGCAACTTGATGAACACCAGCTAAGGTAATATAGATTTTCATAAACTTATCTGACTGATCCCATCCATAATTACTGATTTTCACTGCATATCCCGTTGTAATGGGAGCAACCATAGCAGATGGCTTTTCGTTGTCAAGAGGTTCTGCTTTCCTCTGTGATTTCTGTTGCATCTTGTTCTTGATTTCTGTTTTGATCTTGGATTTTTCAGCTGTAAGGGCATCATGTACTCTTTTCCTAGTGGCTTTTTCCAGCAACACCTTTGCTTCTTCTAGATCTTTCTGTAGCTCTTCCAAAGCTGAAGCCATAGTGGGGCTGGGTCAGGCCTAAGGCCCAAGCTGCAGCCACACAAAGGAGGGAGCAGGAAATGCCTCCCTGAGTGTGCTCACCCTGAGGGCAGACCCCAGGGCACAAGTCGCAGTCAGGATTTCCTTTTTAATGTTTGTTACCAGTCTGATGGTTTCAGCTTTTGTTTTAGTGGAAATTCTTTATTTCATCTTCATTTTTCAAGAGTAGTTTTTTTTGGGGGGGGGCATATAGAGCTGTAGGTTAGACCTTCTTTTTCAGTTGAAAATATTCTGCTATTTTCTATTGTATATATTTAATGGCTATGTCATGCATTTTAATTTTTCATGGTTTTGGAGTATAACTATGCTATAATTCCATTTCTCTTTCTGCATATAATGTGTCTTCTGTATGTAGTTGATTTTATGATTATCTGTGTATCACTAGTTCAAGTAATCTGATTATAGTGTATTTTGTACTTTTTTCTCATGCTCCTTGTGTTTAAGTTTTGTTGAACTTATTTAAACACAACTGTCATGAAATTTTATAACTATGTAGCTTGTATGTTTTCAAATATTTTTCTTTTTTTTTTCAGGGTAATAAAGAGATTTAGGAAGAACAAAGAGAAAGTTTAGAGTACTTCCAAAGAGAGCTAGAAGTGGGTCCTTCACATGGAGAAGAAAAGGGGAGAGAGGACAAATGTTTTTCTGCCCTTCCTCCTTCTGAGACTCCAGTTAGAGGTTCTAGTCCACTTGGAGTTTCCCCACATCTCAATGTTCATTTTTTCTAACCTTTTATTTTTCTGCATTTCATTTTGCAAAGTGTACTTATTTTTCTTCTTTTATCTAGTCTGAGTGTTACTCACCTCTTCCATATTTTTCATCTCACATAGTATTTTTTTTTAATCTGTAGATGTTCAATTTGGGTCTTTAAAACAATGTCTTTCATGTGCATCCTTTACTACTCATCCATTATTTTATCTTCTTGAACATATGGAGTATACTTATGATAGCTTTTTCTAATATCCTTGCCCTTGAACTTCCTTAGACATGACAAGAACAGCCTTTAGTCTAGGCCTACCACACTTCAATATGGAGGCAATACTTTTCTGAGTTTTCTATTCAAATCTCTGCATACATCATATTTCTCCATTCTAGCTATTGTGAATATAGATTGTCTCTAGTGGGTAATCTTTGACACTTTTTAAACATACTTTTTTTTCTGGTTCTCCTCCCCAGCTTACAATAATTTCCTCCCACAAACGGGTTGATTGTTACTGAGGTGAAGAATTGGGGAGGACCTTCTGCAGGTCTCTGGAATTCTTTTTGAGCAGAAATATTTTCTTCTGTATTCTGCCCTGTGAATTCTGGTTTCCTTGGCTTTCTTTAATTTAAAATATAGTCTCCTTAACTCAGGGAGCTCACTGAACTCTGTCTGGATTTCCCTCCCTTGTGTGATGGCCAGGAAACTCCCCAGGAGGTGACCCCAAGCTATTACAAGGCTCACCTCATCCATTTGCCTTCTCTTCGGGATTACTATCCTGAGCTGCCTACTATATAGCATCTGAAATCCATTGTTTCATATACACATTTTCCAGTTTTTTAATTTTGTAAAGGAAGAAGATAAATTCAGTGTTTCCCTGAAAATAAGACACTGTTTTATATTTATTTTTTCTCAAGAAGACACGCTAGGGCTTATTTTCAGGGGATGTCTTATTTTTATTAAGTATAATACAACAATCTACATTTATTCAAATACAGTTAAGTCATCATCTTCTGGAACATGACAAGGGGAGCCGACCTTGTTGGTGGGACTGGTGCTAGTGATGCATGAACTCCTTTCCCCTAGCCATTTGCACGTGGGCAATAGGATGCCTGAGACCACAGTTATCACACACGTATCTGCACAAGTGCGAATGGCTTGGAGAACGGAGCTGTGGCAGATAAAAGGTATTTCAGTCTTCCTTACCGCTCACCGAAATGCATGGCATGGCAATGCAGATATGCTGCATAGCCACACCCATCACTAGGTCTTGTTATTGGGTAGGGCTTATATATTAAAAAATGCATAGAAATCCTGCCAGGGCTTATTTTTTGGGTAGGTCTTATTTTCAGGGAAACACAGTATTACTCCATCATTATCATAAGTAGATGCTACCTTCACTCTTAAAATATATTTTCAGTGGTGATATGAGTCTAGTTTGATCATTGTTTTCTTTCTGACATGTAAATGTGATAGCTCTCTATTTTCTTGGGTTGTTTTGTTCTATCTTTTGCTCTTTGTACTGGGCTATTTTTTTGTCATAATTTAAAATCAAATAGAAGTTTAAACATTATCCATACTTGAAATTTAAAAAATTTTTAATTGACATAATTCTAAACATTTATGTTATACGTCATATAACACAATGTCTTGAAATATGGATACATTTTGAAAGGCTACACTTTGCTAAATGAATTACATACATTCTTATTTTTTGCAGTGAGAACACTTAAAACCTACTCTCTTAGCAATTTTAAAGTATGTAATATATCATCTAACTCAGATTTTGTATATGTTGACCACCTTCCAAATTTCCCCTGATCCACACTCTAGTCCCTGGTAATCACTATTCCTCTCTCTGCTTCTATGAGTTTGACTTTTCATGATTCAGGTATACATGAGATCAGGCTGTATTTGTCTTTCTGTGCCTGGCTCATGTCATAATTTTCTCCATGTTGTTACAGATGGCACAATTTTCTTCTACTTTTTAGGCTGAATGCTATTCCATCAAGTACTTTCTTATCCTGTAATCTGTTGGTGAACACTTAGGTTGCTTCCACGCCTTGGTGACTGTCAATCGTGCTGCCCATGAGAAGGCAGATATTTCTTTAACATTCTTATCTCATTTCCTTTGGATATATGCTCAGTAGTGGGATACTGGACCATTTGGTAGCTCCACTTTTAATTTTTTGAGGAACTTCTACACTATTTACATAATGCCTTACTGATTTACATTCCACAGTGTGTAAGGATTTCCTTTTCTCCCCATTCTTGCTGTATTTTATCTCTTTGATAATCCGCTTTCTAACAAGCATAAGTTAACATATCACCATGGGTTTTATTTTTCAGATTAATATGAGGGCATAAACGATTAGGTTGCATTGTTTTCATTTGTTAGGTTAAAGTCCAAGTTGTAATTGTTTCCTTAACCCAGAAAGTGCTCCAACCTAGCTGTGCATTGTACCCATTGGGGGGACACTTACCAAACCCACTACCTCCACCCCCATCTACTCGAATTTTATTGAGTTTTTCTCTCAAGTGAGCCTTTCAACTTAGTACTGAGTACATGTGATGCTTGTTTTTCCATTCTTGTGATGCTCTGCTTAGGAAAACATTCTCCAAATCCTTCAAAGTTGTTACAAAAGATTCAAAATCTCTTTATCTTTTTATGGCTGAATAGTATTCCATGGAATACATAAACCAAAATATATTAATCTATTCATGTGCTGAAGGCCACTCTGGTTGTTTCTACATCTTTGTGATTGTGACTTGAGCTGCTGTAAACATTTAGGTGAAAATATTCTTATGGTAAAATGTCTTCCCCCCCCCCACCGCCCCTTTGGGTAAATGCCTAGTAGTGAGATTGCAGAATTAAATGGTAGATCTACTTTTAGTTCTTTTTTTTAATTTTAAATTTTATTCATTTATTTCTTATTTCCGGTTAATGCGATTGTATGAACATGTAGATTATAATGTTTGCATTTGTTGGGTAGAATCCCTCTTGCACTTTTATTTCTTTGAGAGGTCTCCACACTTCTTTCCACAGAGGCTGTACTATTTTACAGTCCCATCAACAGTGCAGAAGTGCTCCCTTTTCTCTGCACCCCCACCAGCATCTGTGGCCTTTGGACCTTGAGATGTGGGCCATTCTCAGTGGGATTAGGTGATATCTCAAAGTGGTTTTGATTTGCATTTCTCTGATAATTAAGGATGATGAACATTTCATTGTGGTTTTAATCTACATTTTCCTGATGATTAGTGATTTTGAGCATTTTTCTTCTGGCTATATATCCAGTAGTAGGATTGCTCAATTATATGATAGATCTTTTAAAAAACTTTTTTGAACTAATTTAACTCTCTCCTCTCTTCACTATCTCCAGTCACATGTATATAAATATTTCCACTGCACCCCATTTTCCCTTTACATTTTCTTCTATATTTTCCATTTTTTCCTCTGTGTTCTTTTTCAGGTGAATTGTCTACTGCTTTATTTTCCATTTCATATAATCTCTCTTTAGTTGTGTTTAATTCACAACTAACCATTGGATAGAGTAATTTTAGCTATTAAATTTTTTCACATCTAGAATTTAAACTGTATTCTTAAAAAATGTAGTTATTTTGGGAGAACTTCACCTTATCTCTTTTTCTGTACATGTTTATTATAGTTATTTTAGGATCAATGTCTGATAACCCTGAACCTATGGGAGATGTTTATATTTGAATGTTTTTCCCTATCTTGATCTTGTTTATTTATGTGATAATTTTTCTTCTTTTATGCCAGATACATTCTCTGAACAACTGTAAGAAGCTTTTGGTGATTATCATAGTCCAGAAGGCATTCATCCTTTCCTTTGGAAGGCAGTTAGAGCATCAGCACATCATTTTGATCTAGTCCAGAGCTGAGCTGACTCTTGCCTGGGTTTCAATATTTGGAAGGCTGATTCCATCTGTGGTTTGCCCTTCAGGTGTCCCTACTGAAAGCCTAGATATTTATCAAGGTTCTGCCAAACTAATTTTTGTATCCTCAATGTGGTAAGATTGCCAAAATCTCCCCTCACCTTTTCTCTTAATTTCTGCTTGGTTTTAGGCAATCCAGCCTCACAGAGCTGTGGAATCAGCAAATGTCTTGAGGAGAAAGTTGGCACAGAGTGTCAAATGTATGTGAGCTCCCTACTCTCTGGGAACTTGCCTGCTTATGTTTAACTCCCATGGCGGTCCTGAATTATAATTTTTGTGTTCTTAGTCCTGTGAAATTAAGAAGAGATTAAGTGTATCTTGTCCTTGGCAGCCCAG